GGCGGCGGCGGCGGCGGCAGCGGCGGCGCACGCCTTTAATCCCAGCACTCAGGAGGCAGAAGCAGGTGGATCTCTGAATTCAGGGGCCAAACTGGTCTACCAAGCAAGTTACAGGACAGCCAGGGCCATACAGAGAAAGCCTGTCTCGAAAAAAAACAAAAATGGAAGAAAGAAAAAGAAATAGCTGGGAGGTGGTGGCACACGCCTTTAATCCCAGCACTTGGGAGGCAGAGCCAGGCGGATCTCTGTGAGTTCAAGGCCAGCCTGGTCTACAGAGCGAGATCCAGGACAGCCAGGGTTGTTACACAGAGAAACCCGGTCTGACATAGTGATTGGATCAAGGAGAGCCCTGAGCTCAGTTGAGGCAGGGTTTTTAAGGAGTAAAGGATTGGGAGGGTAGGGGAATCCAGATTCAGATGGGGGTTGAACTCCTATTGGTCAGGAGTGAAGTAACAGAAGCCTTGCAAGGAAATTGGCAACTTATATACAGATTCTGTAAGCTATCCTTTATGTTCTAGAGCCTTTAATACTTGTTTGTCTCACTTCTGAATGGTCCCCTGCAGGGCACAGTCTGTGGCTTTTCCTGGTTACGGTAATGGTGAGGCCTGGTCCCAGCACTGTTAGTCTGCAGCCTGTCATGGCTGCACTAAGGTTGTTAGGCCTCTTCAGAGTCTCCGGAAGAGCAGTTGTGCTTTTAACCACTGAACAATCTCTCCAGCCTCCTCTTTTTTTTTTTGTTTGTTTGTTTTATATTGCTTTTAGTTATTACTGTTGTTTTAAATTTTCTTGCCACAGTGTCTCAAGTAGCACAAGCTGGCCTTGAACTCAAACTGTAGCTCAAGGAGACCATGAGCTCCTGGTGCTCCTGCCTCAGCCTTCCAGGTGCTGAGATTGCAGGTCTGTTCTGCCATGCCGATTCCACCTTCCTTCCCCTCATCAGGCAATCACTCTACAACCCACCTACATGCTCAGGTCTTGATTTTATTTCAAAGTAACACAAATGGCTTATCTGTGCTCTATGTAACTTTGTAAGTTATTTTGGTTTTTTTACCTAGACTAATGGAATGATTGTAACAACGTTACAAAGTAGGTTCTTGACAGGAAAGGGTTGTTCAGGGTGGTTCTGTGATTAAATGCTTACTGTTTTTACAGACAACCTCAGTTCAGTTTGCAGCACCCATTCACAATTACCTGTAACTCCAGATACAGGAGGTCCAAAACCCTCCTCAGGTCTCCACAGGCACTCCCCAACACACACACACACACACACACACACAAATAAAAATACAATGCATGTTTTCGAAAGGGTAGGTTCATTTAGTCATTTACTCATTCAGAAAGTAATACCTTTAAAAAGTTGAGTTTTGGGGCTGTGCAGTAGCATGCTTTTAATCCTGGCACTCAAGAGGCAGAGGCAGACAGATCTCTGTGAATTCCAGGCCAGCCTGGTTGACATAGAGTGTTCCAGGACAGCTCGGGCTACATAGGAAAACCCTGTCTTGAAAAACAAACAAGCCGGGGGGCGGCGGTGGCGGCGCATGCCTTTAATCCCAGCCCTTGGGAGGCAGAGGCAGGTGGATCTCTGTGAGTTCAAGGGCAAGCCTGGTCTTCAAAGTGAGTTCCAGGACAGGCTCCAAAGCTACACAGAGAAACCCTGTCTTGAAAACAAAAAAACTATTCAGCCAAGCATGGTGGTGTCTGTCTGTAATCCCAACTCTTAGGAAGTGGAGGCAAGAGGATCTGTAAATAATTGTCTAATCCCTAAGAAGTTTGGCATGAGCCCAAGCTCCAGAAGATTCTGTCTCAAACAAATAAACAAAAACCCTGCAAAAACAAAACAGACAAACAAAAAACCCGAGATGAGACAAAACACCACCAAGAAAACCCAGGCCAAGTGTTTGGGCCAAGGTTGGAGGCCTGTTTCAGTCTGTCCCAGGACTCCCCAGGTGCCCCTGCCCTGTGCCCCTGCCCTGTGCTGCCCTGTGCTGCCCTGTGCTGCCCTGTGCTTCCGTTACAGGGGTGGATGACACCGTCAGTGTGCTTCTTCAGTACCCAGGAGGGGTCCATGGCAGCCTCACCTGTAGCATCAGCTCCAACCTCACCAACATAGCATATGTGGCTGGCACCAAGGGCAAGGCCCAGGTGAGACATCCCATGCTGAGGGCTGGGAACCTGCACAGCAACCTTAGAGCGGGATTCTAGAGCCGAAGTAACCATTTTTTTACCCTGCTTCTGAGACATTCAGACTCCTTAACAACCAAGCCAAGGGATGGGGTTTCAGCCTCGAGACCACAGTCCCACATTCCGAGGCCTTAGGACAAACCAGCTCTTTGGATGTTTGCTCTTTGGTGCTGGGAATGGAAGCCTGGCCTTCCCGACTGCTAAACAGGTGCTCTGCCACCAAGGTACGCTCTAGTCCTGCGTTCTGTCCAGTTATATTTGCTATATATATAACTTCCTGTTCCTGTGACCATTATCTAACAGAAGTAATGTACCTGAGGGAAAGGCTCACTTTGGCTCAGGGTTCAAGTCCTGTCAGTACATCCTGGTAGGAAGGCAAGGAGACTGAACCAATTTGGTCTGTGGCAACGGAAGCTTTCCACACACTTTGTTGATACCACGACAGCTAGGAAGCCAAGAACTCAGGTGAGCACCAAGAGTGGCTATAACCTCCCAGGCCCACACTCCAGCCACGCACCTCTGCTGTGAGCAGTTTATGTTCTAAACATAATGCTAGCCATGCTTAGGACTTTCCAGTTGTTCCCAGACACAGTCTGTATATCACCAAAGGTCAGATTTTCCTGGAATCCTGGAATGCCGTTGCTAGAAAGAACTCCTATTTTGGGTGTGAAAGCTTGGCTCACTGGAAGACGTGGCTCGCATGTATGGTACCCTGCATTTGCTACCCGGCTGCCAAAGAAAGGAGGTCCTGCTGGGCCCAAAGGTGCAGGGGGAACCATAGGTCCAGGCCATTCTGGGCTGCAGAGGGATTTCAAGGACAGTCTGGACTACTTAGCAACACCTTCAAAAACAAAAGGCGGAAAGAGAATCTGGAGACAGAGATCTAGCCCCTGCCTAGAATCCTCCAGTGAGGGGCTGTGTGCACGGCTCAGTCCTAGAGCACCTTTTAGTGCACAGCTGAGAGTGTGTTTGATCCCCAACACTTCAGTGAAAAAAATCTGAAGAGAGAGAAAGAAATCCTATCTACAGCAAGTCAAGCTGTGGAATAATTTGAGCCTTTTCCTGCATTTTGAAGGACTTCTCCCATTCTTCCCTCATGTCCCTCCTGACTTCTCAGTGTCTGCATTCTGTCCTACAAGTGGGCAGAGGGCTACTGCTTCCAGATCTTCTACCAGCTAAGAAGGAAGGCTGTCAGTCTTGTTTTGTGTGGGCCCTTGGAAGAAAAAGGGCCACTCTAGGATGAATTTGGGCTTAGCAAAAGCAGGGGAATCAGCTTCTGGTGAACTGACTGCCCATTGCTCTGCAAAAAGCTTTTTTTATTGTTTCAGGATTTACACCCTTTTCTTTTTGTTTTTGGAGACAGGGTTTCTCTGTGTTACACAGCTCTGGCTGTCCTTGAACTCGCTTTGTAGATCAGGTTGGCCTTGAATGCATAGAGATTGCCTGCTTCTGCCTCCCAAGTGCTGGAATTAAAGGCCTGTGTCACCACTGCCCAGCAGGATTTATACCCTTTTTTATTTTTTATTTATTTATTTTTTTGGAGACAGGGTTTCTCTGTAGTAGTTTTGCACCTTTCCTGGAACTTACTTTGTAGACCAGGCTGGCCTCAAACTCACAGAGATTCGCCTGCCTCTGCCTCCCAAGTGCTGGGATTAAAGGCATGCGCCACCACCGCCTGGCAGGCTTTATACCTTTAAGCAAGCAACTTCCACTTACCAAAACCTCTTATCTGCAGTTGTGTGAAGGAAGCATTTACCTAAGCATTTCTCAGCCATGAGACCTCTTGGTTTACCAAGTCCTCTAGTTACTAGTTTTGCAAAAGCTCTGAATCCTTCAGGAAGCACTCAGATAAGAATCAAACATTCAACACCAGGAGCTGCTAGCCCAGCAGCAGCCGAGCACGGCCCAGGTCAGGACCACTGTGGAGGCCAAGATTTGAGGCAATGGGAGCTCTGAGCCCAGGTGAGCGGCAGCAGCTTGATTAAAGGTGTGGAGGCACCGAGAAGTAGCTGCTGCTCCAGTGTACCCTCCTCAGGAGCAAGATGACTTCCAGGACCTGCTCTCTTCACTAAAGAAGAGGAAGCCTCACCTGGTGCCCATTCTCTGCCTGAAGGGCATCTTTAGGCTGTCACAGTGCACTGAGGGTATGGGGGCCTCCACCATCCACCAAAACACTCTTCACCAAGAGACTGGAGAAGCAGAATGTGGAGAGTCTGACCACTCAGCTACAGCTGATGTCC